AATCTTAATAAGGAGTCATTCGGGACCCTTACCCGCGTTAGGCCCATTGGAGTATGCGGCACCAGTTTGGAACCCACACCTAGCCAAGCACGTAAAGAAACTAGAGAAAGTGCAAAGGTTTGCAACAAGACTAGTCCCAGAGCTAAGAGGTATGTCCTACGAGGAGAGGTTAAGGGAAATCAACCTGACGACACTGGAGGACAGGAGAGATAGGGGGGACATGATAACGACATACAAAATGCTGAGAGGAATTGACAAGGTGGACACAGACAGGATGTTCCAGAGATTGGACGCAGTAACAAGGGGACACAGTTGGAAGTTTAAGACGCAGATGAATCACAGGGATGTTTGGAAGTATTTCTTCAGCCACAGAGTAGTCAGTAATTGGAATAGTTTGGGAAGCGATGTAGTGGTGGCAGGATCCATACATAGCTTTAAGCAGAGGTATGATAAAGCTCACGGCTCAGGGAGAGTGACCTAGTAGCGATCAGTGAAGAGGCGGGGCCAGGAGCTCGGACTCGACCCCCGCAACCTCAACTAGGTGAGTACAACTAGGTGAGTACACACACACACACCACTTTACTTTCAACAACACCAAAAACACCATCAATTACCTTTGAATACTCCAAAAACATCATTCAAACACAGCCAAAATCACCACTGAATACTCCCAGAACACCTTCATAAATACTCTTGCACATCATTTGAACACCTTCAAAAACACCTCTGAATAGTCTCAAACACCATTTGAGTACTCCCAAATACACCACTGAATACTACTAAAACACCACTGAATTCAGTCAAAACACCACCAAAATCACAGACTAACACCCATTTTCACACAAATCCCCTCAAATCACTATAACCAAGACGATTACCAATTTCTATGAGTACACTCACCTCCAACTAAGATATAACATGAGTGCAAAAAACATGAACACAAACCAAACACACACGAACACTTACAACAGAATCACCTCTTTTTCGGTATCTCTAGTTCGACAACAACGCCCACAACCCAAAACACCCACATCCCACAAACCACAACCCACATCACCCACAACCCACAACACCCACAACAACAACCCACAACTTATAACCACTTTCCGGTATCTCTAGTTCGACAACAACACCCACAACCCACAACACCCACACCCACAACACCCCACAGCCCACATCACCCACAACAACAACCCACTTATAACATCTTTTATGGTATCTCTAGTTCGACAACAATACCCAAAACCCTCATCACCCACAACCTTTATCATCTCACTAGAGAACAACCCCCAGATTACTTCGAACACTCTCATAAATCATTTGATTACTCACAAAAAACACCTTTGAACATTTCCAAACAACACTGAAACACTTCCAGAATATCATTTTTGAATAATTTCTTCACATCCACTCACCCGTCTCCCAACACACCTCTTCAGAACAAACACAAAAATCACATTTCACATCCACAAATGCATCTCATCACCCATCTCAAATCCACTAAAATCACTGTATCCAAGATATTCACAAAATTCTATGACCACCTAACAAACACAGACAACTCACTTTACTTTGATCACCTTCAAAACACTCATACATTATCATTTGAGACTACCTGTTCTCAATATCTCTTAAGAAATATTCTCTCATCGACAACCTTTATCATCTCACTACAGAACAACCCCAAGATTACTTCGAACACTCTCATAAACCATTTGAATACTCACATTAACACCTTTGAACATTTCCAAACAACACTGAAGCACTTCCAAAATATCATTTTGAATACTCCCAAATAAGATTTGTCATCTCTAATTTATCTACACTTACACATTTCATTAACTGAAATTACAACTCATCCATCATACTACTCCCTCAGTCTCCAGACTTTACAACATTATTACAAAAACTAACTCATACACTTATGACATGAGACATTTTACCAAAACTAACACAAACACACCCACACACACCACACTTTACTTTGTATAACACCAAAAACAACATCAATTACCTTTGATTACTCCAAAAACATCATTTGAACACTTTCAGAAACATCAACAAACTCCTTTGAATACTCCCAAAACACCACTGAATACTACCAAAGCAGCACCGAATACTGACCAAACAACACTAAAAATCACCAGAACCTAAGATCAACACCACCAACTAACACCCATTTTATAGAAATCCCCTCAATCTCTTTAACCAAGACGATCCCACTCACCTCAGACTATTATATAACATGAACGCAAAAAAAAAAAAAAAAACATTCTCATAAATCATTTGAATACTCACAAAAAAAACACCTTTGGACATTTCCAAACAACACCGAAACACTTACAACAGGATCACCACCAACTGAAAGCATAACATGTACAAATATAAATCTAAGACAACCACCAACAACAAACACCCATATTCACTTACCTCAAAAACCACTAATATTACAGAAAACACTCATTTTTTATAAATATTCACACAAAAAATCACAATCACCAACTCCATACAATATCTAATACACTCCCCTCACTACCACCAACACGTACCAGCACAGATAGGGATACCTCCCATGACATCACACTCCATCCTGTTTTTATTTGGCGATCAGCGACGTCACACCCAAACACCTTGTTTCAACCTGTTATATCTCCAATATCTAAGATCACCACAATCAAGACGTTTACCAAATTCTATAACCCCAACACTAAGATCACACATTTTTGTACACATTCTCTTAAAACATCATCATAACGAAGATCACTAAAACTATCTATACTTTTACTAAGATGACATAACATTTTGTCTTCTCTAACTCGCACTTACACATTTCATTAACCGAAATTACATCTCATCTACCAAACTCCTCCCTCATTCTCCAGACTTTACAACATTAGCAAAAACAAAAAACTAACTCATACACTTATGACATGAGACACTTTTCCAAAACTAACAAAAACACACCCACACACACCACACTTTACTTTGCACAACACCAAAAACAACATCAATTACTTTTGATTACTCCAAAAACATCATTTGAACACATTCAGAAACATCAACAAACTCCTTGAATACTCCAAAAAACACCACTGAATACTACCAAAACAGCACCGAATACTGCCCAAACAACACTAAAAATCACCAGAAACTAAGATCTACACCACCAGCTAACACCCATTTCATAGAAATCCCCTCAATCACTTCGACCAAGACGGTCCCACTCCCCTCAGACTATTATATAACATGAACGCCAAAAAAAAAAAAATCTCATAAATCATTTGAATACTCACAAAAGAAAAAAAAACTTTGGACATTTCCAAACAACACCGAAACACTTACAACAGGATCACCACCAACTGAAAACATAACATGTACACACATAAATCTAAGACAACCACCAACAACAAACACCCATATTCACTTACCTCAAAAACCACTAATATCACAAAAACACTCATTTTTTATAAACATTCACACAAAAAATCACAATCACCAACTCCATACAATATCTAATACACTCCCCTCACTACCACCAACACATACCAACACACATAGGGATACCTCCCATGACATCACACTCAATCTTGTCTTTACTTGGCGATCAGCGACGTCACACCCAAACACCTTGTTTCAACCTGTTATATCTCCAACATCTAAGATCACCACAATCAAGACGTTTACCAAATTCTATAACCCCAACACTAAGATCACACATTTTTGTACACATTCTCTTAAAACATCATCATAACGAAGATCACTAAAACTATCTATACTTTTACTAAGATGACATAACATTTTGTCTTCTCTAACTCACACTTACACATTTCATTAACCGAAATTACATCTCATCCACCAAACTCCTCCCTCATTCTCCAGATTTTACAACATTAG